CAGGCGGGGGCTCGGATGGGGCTAGGGTGACTACAGGTGGGGCTGGCTGGCGGCGGCATCCTCGTTCAAGACACGCGACGCGCAATGGAGGGCGCTCGCGTGGGGCCCCGCGCGAAGGTGCCCCAGAGCCATGCGCTGCGTGGCACGGCTGGCAGCGGCTGTCGCAGCGCCTGCTGCTTGCGACAGGCAAGCCGGTTCTCTATTGACAAGGAGCCCACACACGCCCAACCCCCGCCCCGTGTCAACCGCGTCACCCGTATGGCGGTGCAGGCCCTGCTGGGCCCCTCTGGCGCGGGCAAGTCCACCCTTATGGACATCCTCGCGCAGCGCAAGAGCGTCGGCGCGCTGACCGGCCAGCTGCTGGTCGGCGGCCGCCCCGCGGGGCGCGCGTTCATGCGGCGGACCGCCTACGTGCCCCAGGACGACAACTTTGTGCCGACGATGACGGCGATGGAGATCATGAGGTTCTATTCAAACGTCGTCTTGCCGGAGTCCATGGGTCGCGCCGCCAGGCAGAGGCGGGTGGAAGAGGTTCTGGCCGCCCTCGGCCTCAGGGCGGCCCACCGGACGCTGGTCGGCGGCGTGCTGCCCGGCGGGCTGCTGCTGCGCGGGCTCAGCGGCGGCGAGCGCAAGCGGCTGTCGGTGGCGGCGGGCGTGCTGGCGGCGCCGTCTGTGCTCTTCCTTGACGAGCCCACCTCGGGGCTCGACTCGTTCGCCGCGCTCACTGTGGGTGGCTGCCGCAGAGGGTGTGGCGCAGCCCCGGCTGGCCAGCCAGGACGTTCCCCCCTTCCCACGGCCCCGGCTAGGGGGCCGCACTTTTGACCCCTTGCATTTGGCCGCTGGCATGGGGAGCGGGGGCGGGAGGGATTGCGCGCGGGGGTCTGATGGCTGACTGTGGAGCGCGCGATGGAGTGAGGTGGGGCCCCTTGCGCCCCAGACACCCTGCTCCACCCCTACTCACCCTTGCTCGCCTGGTGCCCGCAGGTCATGGGCTACATGAAGCGCATGGCGCGGCGCAGCGGCCAGGTGGTCATCGCGTCCATCCACCAGCCGCGGTCGGCAATCTGGAGCATGTTTGACACGGTGGGCGCGGGTGTGGGTCCTTGGGGCGGCCGGGCGCCTGGCGCCTGGCGCCTGGCGTGCGGCACGGCCGGGCTTCGGCGGTCGCGCGCGGGCGGCGGTTGTGGGCGGCTGAGGCTGGTGCGGGTGGTAAGGAGGCGAGGGAGGCTGCTGCAGGGATTGCCTGTTTATGGAGCAATACGACATTGTCACGTCACAAGGGACAACTTTGTCTGTGAGCACAAAGACTCAAAAATCACAGCATGCTGCCCCGCAGCCGGTATTCATAGATGCACACGTTGAACGCACATGCCTGCGCACGCACACACGCATGTATATGTACAATCACGCTATTATACATGCACACACACACAATCACACACACATGCACGCAAGCATGCACGCATGCGCGTGCGCGCGCACACACACACATACACACCCAAACGCACCCACACACACACTCACACGTGCGCACGCACGCACGCACACGCACGCACGCACACGCACATGCACACGCACCTTGCAGGTGACTCTTCTGTCCAGCGGTCGCCTCATGTACACAGGCGCCCGCGAGGGTCTGGTGGAGTGGTTTGCGGATCGCGGGTATCACTATGAGCCCACACGCCATGGTGTCGCGTCGGACTGGTGGGTGCAGATTGGAGGAGCCAGGATGAGGGCAGCAGCAAGCCCCTGAGCGCGCCTGCTCAGGCTGCCTGCAGAATTGAGACCGGAGGCACGCGCGCACACACACACACACACACACACACACACACACACACACACACACACACACACACACGCACGCGCACACACACATGTGCACGTTTGTAGGTGGGCGTGCATGCACGCCCATGTGCACACGACAACATGCACATTCACAGCTTTTCTTACACAATCAAAATCAAGATCATGCGCACAAACGGCGCACTTCAGGGCCCTGGACTTGGTGGCTATCGGGTTTAGCAAGCCCAAGCGCTACTACGGCCACACCATCAGGACCAAGGAGCAGCTGCATGCGGCGTCTTCATTATTTGTACAGCAGTACTGCAAAGCAGAGGGCCTGACGACTGATGCATCCAGACACACCGCCAGCAGCACCTGCAGCGCACGCCCAGCTGGCGGAGGCGGCGGCGCCCCTGCGCCCCCGTCCCCAGCCGGGGGCCGCCCCGCCCACAGCGGCGACGCGGGCTTCGTCGCGCCCGTGGCCTCGGCGCGGCCGGGCTGGGCGACCGGCTGGTGGACGCAGTACACGTCCTGCCTCGGCCGCGAGCTGCTGGCGATCACTCGCAACCCCGCCGACGTCGCCGGCCGCATGCTGACCTTCAGCTGGGTCGCGCTGCTGATGGGCATGCTGTACTACAACATGCCCCCCGACGCCAGGAGCCTGCGCGGGCGCCTCAACCTGCTGTTCAATGGGCTGGTGTTCTTCTGCCTGATGCCCTACGTCAGTATGAGCCTCTACACCGCCGACAAGAAGTTCTACATCGCGGACGCCAGCGCCAGGCTGTACCGGCCCCTTGCATACTACCTGGCGAAGGTGGCCGGGTGTTTTTTGGGGGCAGGGGGGTGGATGTGAAGGCAGTGGGCGGCACTCGGAGTGAACATTGCCTGACAGGGAGAGGGAGGGCGGCCCACTGTATTGGGCAGGAGAGGGGGCGGGTACGAAAGCTGGAAGTCTGAAGGCTGAGGGTTGGGGTTTTACTGTGGGCGCGCGGGAACCGCACCCTCTGTGATGCAACGGGCCAGGTCAACACAAATTGGCAGTGAACTCGGTGTCACCCTCAGCCCCCCCGCCGCCCCTGATACAGCTCCCACCTGGCGCTCGCACTCACCCTTGTTGGCATCACTGCAGGTGACGGCAACAGTGCCCTTCCAGATCATGAGCGCGCTGATCTTCAACTACACTGTCTACGGCATGGCTGGTCTGCGCAGGGGGGTCATCCCCGTCCTGCAGAACGGCATGATTGCGTCATTCCTGTACTTGATCGCCGTTCAGGTGCGCGGCGGCGTGGTGTCAGTGGGGCGTGCACTGGGGCTTTTGCCAAGCTGGGTGATTTGGTGCCGCACAGCGAGGTGGCGCACGCTCCCAGATCTTTGCGGTTGCATTGCATGGGCTGACAACCGTCCCTGATAGTTGTTGTGCAATCAACCCCGTCTTATGCCCCGGCTTCCCTGTAATCCCTCGCAACCTGCACCCGCCCTCCTTTTCACGGCCCCAGCG